GTTTAGGGTAAATAATAGAACATTCACTAATCACATGCAAATATTGGCTGCCCGTTGGGTAACTGAGAGGCGGGAAAGAGTAAAACGAAGGGTTATGGACACACCACGTATTTCTATTTTATTTCCTTTGCCTCCTCTGAAATTATGACTGAAGTCATAAACCTTTACACCAATTAAATGGACCATTATAAATACACACACACACACACACACCCCATTGCAACGTTTCCTCCACGTAAAATAAAATATATTGAATATTTTTTAAAAATAATCCGGTTAATCTTCCCCTGTAAGTACTGCCTCTTACAAATTTGCACGGCTATTTCCTTAATGTAATTGACTTGATCTAATATGCAGAATTAAATATTAAAGAGGAAGAAAGCTGTTAATAATTGATACTGTTAATCCTGCTACCCATCCTTTAATGGCAGTGGAGGGCTGTGCTTCATAACAGGTTTTTATTCGGTTTGGGTTTATTTTTTGGTCATGTTTTGGATCGTTAAAATACATTTTAAATGCCAATGTTGCTTTATCTACTCACTAGACACAAATCCCTAAACAGGAAGGCGAATGGGAAGCGGTTCTGGCACGTCTTTTCTTTAAAATCCAGCGAATAATTTAACAGATTCCTGTGCCATACACAGGGCAGAGATTCATTATTAAGAAATACTTTCAAAAATTGAAAGAGTCAGGGAAATCGGAGGGAGGACTTTCAGCGAAACAGCTTCGTCTTCCAGCCCTGGCAGGCTCTCAACATCAGCCCAAATTAAACTATTATTTAAAACAAAATATGCGTCGTAACCACATGCCATGGAAACCACACAGCATCCTCTTAGCGCGGGTCCCTGCACTTACTTATAACTTAATAATGTTTTCTTGGACAAGATTTTTATATATTCAATTTCAGGGACATTGAGCACAGAACCTGGATATTTAATTCTCTCCAATCATTCACCTCACGGTTGCAGTTTGTTCTGGATCTCTGCCCAGTACAATAGAATAGGACTTTCTTTTTGTGTGAGTGTGTGTGAGTGTGTGTGTGT